GGGCGGGGGGCCCTGCTTCCGCAGCGGGCTCGGCCCTGCTCTCTGGGGCTGCCTGCGGCCGGAGGCGCTCGGGCACAGCGCGTCGCCGCGGCGGACGCGCGGCGACGCGCTGCGCCTGGCGCGCGGATGGCGCGTCGCTGCGCTCCGCGGGGCGGGATGGGACGCGCAGAGGCATAATAAGAATAGATGTCCCCCTTGCAGGCGCGCGTCCGACCCCAGCATCTGGTGTACCCCATCCTGTGGCACATCGTTCCCCGAGCGGCGCGGCCAGGAAGCGCCCGCCACGGCGCCCGTGCTGCAAGATTCCGCGGTGCGCGCGTCGCCCCTGGGGGGGCGACGCACACACATAGCAGAAGTACCCAGACCCCCGACGTCATGATTTTTTAATGACGCGACCCCCAGAGGTCCGGACCCGTTCCCCGGGACCGGTTTTTCATCCTGAGTCGTTTTTTGACGCTCCCGAGGGCCGGTGAGGGCCCCCAGAGGCCGAAAATTAGGAAAATCCTCCCGTCGTGAATTTTTCATTACTCGGGGGGGTCTGGGGTCTGGGGAGAACTCGGGGCGTTGACGCCTCGGGGCCGGGCAGCGGCCGGCGCGTCGGGGCGCCGCGCGGCGGGCCAGCAGCGGCGGAGCGGCGCGCTCGGCTCGGGCTCCCGGCCGCAGTGCGCTCTCGGCGGGAGGCCGCGCGTGGCGCCCCGTCTGCCCAACGAGTCGCTCCCCGCCTGCTGGCTCCTTGAGGTGCGGTTAAGTCGGGCGTGTCCCCCATACAGGGGATCGTCGACGAAAAAGAACAAACACACAAAAAAAACTCCAAGAGAGGTCAAAACATGTGCAACCAATGGTCCCCAGACGACTATTTTTGCGGACCCTTTCTGAAGATTCCGCCTGCAGAGGGACGGGCCCTTCGATGTTCTTAAGTACGCTGGGGGCGTTTTTTTTCCGTTTTCAAGATCGACGTCTTTTTCTGTTTGGGGCTCCGTTTTTTTCCCGTTTGGGGATTGCCGTCTCGCCGTTTTCGGTGCGTTACGCGATCCGTTTTTTATTGTACGACCGTTTTGGTTATTTTTGGTCGACCGTTCTCGGTGCGTGTTGCCGTTTTTTTTTATCTGGTCGACCCCAACACGAAAAGTTGAAAACGGGGGGGAAAAAAAAAAAAAAAAAAAAAAAAAAAAAAAAAAAAAAAACGCCCCCAGCGTTTTCAAGAACAACTGAGGACAGGCCCGACTCAAAGGCACGGGTCGGGATCTCCTGCTCGGCGTGTCGCCGCGGCGGCCCCGGCGACACGCTGGGCCTTGCAAGCGGATATGGCGCGTCGCTCCGCCCCACGGGGCGGGCCAGCCGGAAAGGCTCGGGACACTGCCGCTCGGGGGCCCGGAGGTGGACATCGAGTCGTGCCGAGGCGCGGTGGGCCAGAACTGGGCATCGCTCGGACGTCCATTCCCTGTGTGTTTTTTTTTTTGTTGTTTCGTGCGTGGTTTTTTCACCAAAAGATCAAGGATGCTCCTCGATGGTCCTCGCCGAAAGAAAAATGCACACGTCCGAGCGATGCCAAGAGAACCGGCGGAGCGACGCGCCATCCCAAAGTTCCCGACCGTATCCTTAGGTCGGGCATGTCCTCCCACAGGCGGATTTTGGGCGAACAAAAAATATCAAAACACACGCCAAAGTGGTACAAGAAATGGCGAGACATCGTTCCAAGACTATCTTTTAAACTATCATTGAGAGCTCTCCCCCTGCAGAGGGACGTGCCCGACTTCGTCGTATCGTTCTCTGTTAATGCACTGGCTCCCAGGGGCCAGCCCCGGAGTCGACCTGGAGCACGCCCCGCGCCGAGCCCCTCGGCTGCACGTGAGAGTGACCCTGGGTAAGAGTGACCTCTGGCGCGCGGCTTTTTTGGGGGGGGGGCGCGAGGAGGCCAACACACAAGCGCGCAGGACGCCACTATCGCAACGAGCGCGGCGATCGGGGGGAACCCCATTTGGCCCGCACCAAAGGTCACTCCGGTGGCCCGCCAGCCAGAGGAAGGGAGCATGAGGAGGAGGAGGAGGAGGAGGAGGAGGAGGAGGAGGAGGAGGAGGGGAGGAAGGAGGAGGAAGGAGGAGGAGGGTTGGAGGAGGAGGAGGAGGAGGAGGAGGAGGAGGAGGAGGAGGAGGCTAGTCGAGCCCCCCCTCTGGCTGCACACCACCGGCCGACGGCCAGAGGCCGTCGGCTCGCGGGCGGGGCCGAGGGGAGCTCGCTCTCGCGGGCGTCCGCAGGTCGCGACGGGCCTCGCGCACTCCATCCCCGCCCCCCGTCCTGCGTCCTCCGTGCTCCGTGCTCCGCCCTCCTCCTCCTCCTCCTCCTCCTTCCTCCTCCTCCTCCCCTTCCTCCTCCTCCTCCTCGTCCTCCTCCTCCTCCTCCTCCTCCTCCTCCTCCTCCTCCTCCTCCTCCTCCTCCTCCTCCTCCTCCTCCTCCTCTCCTCCTCCTCCCCGTCCCCTTCCATCCTCCTTTTCCCGCCCCCCGCCCCCCCCGCCCTGCCTCCCTTCCTCCCTCCCCCTCCTCGTCCTCCGTCCTCTCCCCCCGAGAAGGAGGAAGAGGGGGAAGGAGGAGGGACGGGGAGGGGAGGGGGACGGGAGGAATGCAACAAGGGGAGAGAGGGGAAGGAATACCTCCTCCGTTCTGCTCTGGCTTAGTTCATGATGCACTATCAGTCGGCAGTCCACATCTGCCCACGGCCCAAATGTTTCACTTCCCCAACCTTCTAGGTGATGGTAAGTATTGGACGAAGTGGAGGTGGTCTTGCCATTCACGATACCATTCGCTTTCAGCTGCAATCCTGCACTCACTATTTCGTACAACTCTTCCTTCGTTATCCTCCTGACTCGCGATGTTGGTTTGCTTGATTTGCTTTGGTCTCCTCACATCCACGCGCTGCTGGCGTAGTTTTGGACCCTCGCGGGCTACTGTTACGGGATCTTCTTGATCTGCCACTCGCACTTTTCTTCTGAGGTCACCGCCCAGATCGGGACGTTTCATATTTGACCTCCGCACAGACGCTACCTCTCTTGATAACCTAAATCCGAGCAGCGCCAAAGTGGAATCAAACATTGTCTTGCTCCGAACGATCCCCACCGAAACCTTACCGTTTGTTCCCGACGGCGCGCAGTCGCCTAATTTGTCGACAACTGCCGTTTCTGGATTCAAAAACGGTTCAACCGTGTTCCATGTTGTCACGTTCTTTCATGTTATGCTCCATCATGTCCTGTTCTGTCTTCGACGGGCCGTTGTGACGTCGTGACGCCTGTGACGCTGGACGCGCCGTCTGTTAGGATAAGCATCTTCACTTATATGTTTATATCATGTTTGGATACGGTGTGTTGTTCTCATACATGCCACCATATCATTCGAAATGTTATAATATGATCTCTGCTATGTGGAACTATGTTGTGGCAGGATCTGTTATGACAGGTTTCTCGTATGTCATGTTTGTGTGATGTTGTTGACAGCTCTGATCTTTATAATGCACTGCGATATGCTATGCTAGTGTAGTTCGCTACGATATGTTCTCGTGGACTGATGTGTAAGGTGATGCTGTCATGAGATGATACTATATATATATATATATGAGTTGACGGTGTGTTATGTTATGTTCGGCTCTCTTGTGTTACGTTGTGCTCAGTCGTCCTCCATTATGTCATGTGCTGCTCTGGTATGGTATGTTGTGTGGTGTTCTGGTTGTTGACGGCTCGGCTCTGTATAGTATACTATGATACGCTCTGCTAGTAGGTATGGCTCGCTATTCTCTGCTATCGTGTTGTTATGTGTTCTGTGATGCCGCGTCATGACATGCTATGTTATGTCAAATTGTGTTGCGTTATGCTCGATTGTGTTCCGCTATGTGTTATGTCGTCTTATGTACTGTCATGTTGTGCTCTGGTGTGTTCTGTGATGTTGTGGTATGCCCTATGTTGGCATGGCATTGTTATAGTTTGTTATGTCATGCTCTGTCATGCTCGTGTTCTACTCTGTCATATTCTCTTGTTGGGGTTGGCCGGGCGCGAGGCGGGTTACCCAGGATTCTCGGAATCATCGGGACAACTTGGGGTCTGGCGGCCACAGTAGGCAGGCTGGGGTTGGCCGGGCGCGAGGCGGGACACCCGGGCACCTCGGGGATCATCGGGACAACTTGGGGTCTGGCGTCCGCGGTATGCAGGGTGGGGTTGGCTGGGGGGCCTGCACTTGAAATCTTACAGCCCCAGCATGTCGGGTGGGGAACAAATACATTAACACCTTTCGGAGGTCCGCGCAGTTCTCTGGAATCGACACCGGACCCCCTCCCTGGAGCGCGGAGCGTGCAGAAGGCGGCGCCGGAGGCGCCGCCAGGGAAGGTCCGGCGCCGAGAAAGGGACCTCCCCTCCCCCACTGCTTCGTCCTCTTCCTTGTTCCCTTCCTTATCCTCGCCTCCCGTCTTCCCGCATCTTCCCGCCTGCCTCGCCTCACCTTTCCGCTGCGCTGCGTGCGCGCGAGAACTTGTCGTGCCGACGCGCCCGGACGCATGGCTTGAAGGAGTGCGAGTGTCCCCTCATCCCCCCTCATCCCCCCTCCCCCCCCTCCCGTCACAGAAGGAAGAAACTGCATACACACAAACTGTCGAAGATCCGCAAGGTTGATGTGTATGCAGTTTTTCTTCGCGGACGTGCCCTGACGGACGCATGTCCTCGGTGAGTGCGAATGTCCCCATCACCCCCTCCCGCCCTCCTCCCCTCCCTCCCCTCCCTCCTTTCCCCCCCCCCCCCTCCCGCCCTCCTCCTCCGTCCCTCCCCTCCCTCCCTCACCCTCCCCTCCCCGCCCCCCTCCCCCTCCCCTCCCCTCCCTCCCCTCCCCTCCCCTCCCCGCCCTCCTCCCCTCCCTCCGCTCCCCCCCCCTCCCTCCCCCCTTGCCTGCTGTGAGTGGCCCCTCCCGCCTCCCCCCCCCCCCCCGAGGCCCCCCGCCCCGGCAGGGCGCATCGAGGGGGCGGCGGCCCGCACTCCAGCGGGCGCTGCAGGGGCGGCGGCGCGAACGTGCCGTCCACGACCACCCACACGTCGCCGATCCCCTCGGTGGGGGAGGGGCATCGAGGAGGAGGGGGAGGCGGAGCGTCCCTCCGAGTCCGTCTCACCAGCCGCTGCCGCTGCCCACGCTCCCGCTCCCGCTGCCGCCGCCCCCACGGCCCCATGGGAGGGTCGGCGGCCAGGCGCGCGTGCGAGCACGAAGGCAATCGCGGGGTCGGGCGGGCCGCCCGAGCCTCTTCTTCTCCGAGCGTGGAGGAGGAGGAGGAGGAAGAGGAGGAGGAGGAGGAGGAGGAGGAGGAGGAGGAGGAGGAGGAGGAGGAGGAGGCGGAGGAGGAGGAGGAGGACCGGTGTAACCCCAAGTCGCATCAACGATGCTGCAATACACCCTCCCTCCAAGTTCCTTCATCAGGGGCCCCTGCAAGAGTCTAGTTCCGCTGCTGGGAGCGCCACGCGGAAGAAAAATCGTTTGAGAATCCCTCACCGTGCCAGAGCACCATTCCTTCGACGTCAGCGCCGCGAATCAACTTTACTGCTGCGTCCTGACGATCCTGCAACGTGCCAGAACACGCGAACTGAGACTTCAACACAGCGAATCGGCAAGACTTCTGCGACCTGGCAATCCGATTTCATGACGGAGCACCGTTCACGGGACGCCAATCATCAGAACCCGCTAGACTGTAAACTTTTAGCGCGAATGTGCGCGGCGCTACGGCGAGAGCCACATGTTGAACAATAACCGCCCTCCAGACGTGAAGCTCATACACAGTTTAAAAAGAATGCGAGCGGCGTTAATGCGAGAGCCACTTATATATAAATATTTTTATATATATAACACACCAACCATCAATTTGTGCAGTTGTTGTGCACTTTGAACAACGAATGTGCGCGGCGCTGACGCGAGGACTACCATGAAGCTCTGGCAAACTTGCAGGACGAATGTGCGCGGCGCTAAATCGATAACCACATTTTGAAAACGACCGCTATCCACCCGTAAAACTCTTGAAATCTGTTTAGACTCATGTGCCCGGCTCTACGGCGAGAACCACATTTTGACAAGGAACCGCCCTCCATCCGTGAAGCCCTTGGCACCTTTTCAAACGAATGCGCGTGGCGCTAAGGCGAGAGCCACATGTTGCAAGCCACTCGCTCTCCATCCGTGAAATTCTTGCAAAATTTCAGGACGCCTGTGCGCATGCGCGGCGCTACTGCTGCGGCGACAACCACATTTTGAAACGGATCCGCCCTCGGTTCGTGAACATGTGGCTCGTGTTCAAGACCAGTGTGCCCGGCGCTCAGGCGAGAGCCACATGTTGAAGACCCCTTGCCCTCGAGCCGTGAAATCCTTGCAGACTTTTAGGGCAGACGTGGGCGGCGCTTCTGCGAGTCTCATATATATATATAACGTATACATAGATGTACGTATGTACTATGCATGCATAGACGCATGTGTGTGCGCATGTGCGCACGCTCGCACTCCGCCAGCGTGCGAATTCCAAAGGACCAAGGTGCATGGCGCGCAGCGCCAATGCAGTCTTGTATATATATATTTATATATAACACATCCGCCCTCCAGCCATATGAAAAAAAATTGCGGGCTTTGAACACGAGTGCGCGCTGCGCTGCGCCGGGAGAGCCGCATCTTGAAGAGGAGCCGCCCTCCGTCCGTGCAGCTGCTGCAGACGTCTACACAGCGAGGGTGCGCGGCGCGGAAGCGACAAGAACATTTTCGAAGGCGGCCCGCTCTCCTCCCGTGAGGCTCTTGTAGATTCTTATCAGGGGGCCGTAAGACCTGGGCACAGGGGACTCGGAAATACCCGACGAGGTCGTCAACAAAAATGACGAGGCCGAGCCTGCATTTTGACGAGGCCTCCCGCTGCAGACATCCCACGAAACTCCTCCTCGTCAAAATCCGAGGCGCGGTCGTCAAAAAACGATGGCGAACCCGAGTCCTGGCAAACCCGGGTCTTACGCTCCCCCGATCTTAGCCTCATGATCATGAGCGGTGGGGGAGTCTTAAGCGAAACGGGCAGCCCACCCCACCGACGCGTCTCGGGGTGCGACGAGGAGGAATTACTCATGACAGAAAGGAATGGAGGAGGAAGAGGCAGATCTCCTCGGCCCTCGCCCTCCTACTCCTCCCTGCTCCTTCTCCTCCTCCTCCTTCTCTTCGGCCTTCCCCTCCCTCTTCCATCTCCTCCCTCCTCCTCCTCCTCCTCCTCCTCCTCCTTCTCCTCCTCCTTCTTAAGAGCAAAGCGTTCAACCTCGAGTCCAGCCCCGCTTGGATCAGGGCGGGGGCGGAACACCGACAGAGGGCGCAGGGGACCGAGGGAGGGAGGACCCTCACGAGCCCCTCCTTCGGCTCCCGAGGACCCCTGAGGCCCCAGGACGCGTGCCAAAACACTTCGCCTCAACGACCCCGCCTCCTCCTCCTCCTCCTCCTCCTCCTCCTCCTCCTCCTCCCTCCTTTTCCTCAACACTCCGTTTCGTCGGCTCTCCTCCTTTTCCTTCACCTCCTCCTCCTCCTCCTTTTGTTCCTTTTCCTTCTCTTCCTCCTCCTCCTCCTCCTCTTCCTCCTCCTCCTCCTCCTCCTCCTCCTCAGATTTTCCGGTCTCTTCAAGGGCGAGGGACGAGAGACTCGTCGAGCGCCAGTCGTGCGCGCTCCGCCAGGGAGCCCATCTGTGCCCATCAGGCATGGCGTGGAGCCCACAGCCTCAGCAGAGAGGGTGCGAATAAAGCCAACAGGCCGGCTGGTCGCTCACTGGGCGAAATCGTGGAAGACGGGCCAAGGTTAGGATCGGGAGGAAGACCTCGAGGATCCCGAGGATGTCGATGAGGCGGGGGGACGGGGGCCCATGAGCCATGACTCAAGGCTTGGTCTCACCCTTTTTCCGAAGGGGCCTATGCCCCAGGAATAATCAAAGAAAGAGAGCGAGAGATAGAGAAAACTAATGAAAGAGAGAGAGAGAGAGGGAGAGAGAACAAGAGAAACAAACACGAAATACAACAAAACGTGTTACGACACGACGGAACCGATGAACAACGACGCGAACGACACGACGACGCGAGGACGACGACGGCCACACAAGCCGCAGCAATGACAGGGCGGGGAAGGGTGACGGGAGGGAGGGAGTGAGGAGGCCTCCGACAATCGAAACATTGCCACATGAAAATGGATCAAGAATATGGCCCCCCTCCCCGCAGGCCCGAAACCCCGTTGATACACAAAACGAAAAGTACGCGATTCAATGGTGGAGAGCTCCAACACGAACATAAGGGTACCCCGCGGGAGCCAGGACTGGTACCAGCGGTACTCCTCCCCCCAAGCCTCCGCTGGGCATCTGGGGAGCCCCCGCGTCACCACGGCTGCACCCGCCCCGACATGCGCAGTGGCTTGTTTTCAAGCTCGTCGCCCCGGGCGGCCCCTGGCTGTCGCGTGCTGGGAGGCGCTTGCTCGGTTCCACTGGGTCGCGTGCCCCGCTGCCCCTGCTGCTTCGGGGATCTTCTGACCCGGGTCAATCCAGACCCGGGTCAGTCAGGCCTTGCAGGATCCTGCAAGATCTTGCGCCCAAGCCCGGGTCAAGGCGACTCTTGCCCCGCAGGATCCTGCAAGGTCCTGCAGGGCCCTGCACCCAAGCCCGGGTCGATGCGACCCCCCAGAGATCCGACGTCGTGATTTTTTCAATACGGGGCCCCCGGAGGTCTCGACCCGTTCCCCAGGACCGGTTTTTCATCCTGAGTCGTTTTTTGACGGTCCCGGGGCCCGGCGAGGGCCCCTTGAGGCCGAAAATTGTGAAAAACCTCAGTCTTTTTTCAATACGTTGGATCTCTGGGCCTGGCTCTGCAGGGTCCTGCAAGCTCTGGCGCCCTGGCTCACCCCCGTCTGTATTGGCCCCCGTCTCAAGAAGCCCCCGGTTCCACCTCCGGGCATCTCGGTTGAGCAGGGACAAACCGTCCTGGCAGTCCTATAGTCCTACCCCGAAATGTTCTAAGAACCCCAACATGTTTTTATAACAGAACCCATGCTCTTATAACATTAACCCGATATGTTAAAGCAAAACAGTCTCAACCAGAAATGTTCTAAGAACATTTCGTGGGAACCACAAAAGGTTCTTAGAACATTGCTTAGTAGGACTATAGGCGAGCCAAGACGCTTCGCCACTGAATGACTCGGAGACCTCTTGCACCGGCCGGGCAAGCTGCGCTCCCCCGCCCCGACCCCGGTGGTCCTGCAGCTGCGCGCCCCCGCTTCGCCGGCCCCGTGGCTGGGCGTTCCTGCTAGGCCCCGCTGTGATGCGTGCACCGGCCGGGCTCGGCTCTCCTAGTCTTGCCTCGTGCCGCTCTGCCGCTGCCTGGCCGCTCCAGCCACTCCTGCCGAAGCTCTTAGTGCGGTTAAAGTCCTTTGCCCTCGCCCGCTTTCTGCGGCCGCCCTCAGCCGTTTTCCACCCCCTGCCGTGTCGCCAGACAGTATAAATACGCATCGCCAGGGCTACTGGAGCGCGCGTGCGGATTACCTCTGCCGCGCTGCGACGAAAAAACTGTTCAATATCCGTGCAGCCGTGGCGACGAGGTGTACCCCCCCGAAGTTCAAACAAGGATGATGGTAGTGATTTGAGGGCGGCGAAGAGGAGGAGGAGGAGGAAGGGAGGGGAGGGAGAGGAGGAGGAGGAGGAGGAGGAGGAGGGAGGAGGAGGAGGAGAAGGAGGAGGAGGAGGAGGAGGAGGAGGAGGAGGAGGAGGAGGAGGTATATGCCTTCGCGGCCGTCACGTACGCAGAGATATCCGCCACGTCGCAGCTGGGGTTCAGCGGGGTCTCGAGCCAGACCAGGTCCTGAGGAGATCCGAAACAATTGCTGGCTCAGGGGCTCAGGAGGGGAAATATTGACCTGAGATCAGCGACGCATCACCAATAGATCGGCGATCGGGCATCCGAGCCCCGATCGGCGATGAACCCATACATCCGATGTAGTGATTTTGACGTGCAGTGGGCCCTGGACCTCTCGACGACCCTTTTATACTGCCCAGCTTTTCATCCGGAGCCGTTCTCTGACTGACTGCCCCAGAACCTGAAAACGCCCCCCCCTTCCTCTCCCCTCCCACCAGGAGGCCGAAGACTACAGTCGAAACGCTGTCATAAGGAACCCTAAATAAGGAACGCGGCTCCTTTTTTCCATAAGTTCAACTTCGATCTCGCATAGAACGCCGATGGAGAACCTAAGACAAGCTGTAAAGAAATTAGGGAACACAGGGACCCTCCCCAGCGAAAAGGGTTCCTTCTTCAGCGGCCCGACTGTATGCAAAAACGCCCGTCTTGATTCAGCCGCTCAGAGAGAAAAGTTGACATGAAGTATCCTGACACTTCAGGGGTCATCCAATACATGATAAGGTGTTGCGCCTGCCATGCAAGTGGTCGCTTAGTCCTTGGGATAGGCGTTGCATCAGCAAGCATGTGTTCGTTTCCTTTCTGAAGAATACTGAGTCCCAGAGCACAGCTCGCTGTCAGCATCCTCGCACGTACGGTAGCACACTCATGTTGTGACAGCGTGATCCATACACTCTTACTCGTAACTCTTGGTACACTGGTCCAGAAGGACGTGGGCACTCGGCGAAGGCGTGGCGAAAACTTGAGGTCACTGCCCCACAGCGCTTGCATGGCATGCCTGTTCTTCTTCGTGTCTCAAATGTGACGGCCCCCGATCTGAAGACCGCCGGCAATGCACGATCCTCCTCGCCCAGGCAACTGAACCATTTACCACATGTTTTGCTTGAGGAAGCGTGGACATCAACGTCGTCGATCTCCTCTGCGTCGTACCTTGTGCGCACCACTTGCTGGAGACAGCGTACGCACGCAATACTTCTGAGGGCATGCTGGGCTGCTTTGCTGTTGGTAGTGAACCTCCAGCCGTCACCCACGAGCCTCTCAACTGCATCGCGGATCTTGAAATCATCATGCGAGTCGACTTGTAAAACTGCGCCCTGTGCGGCCGAATATCGGACAAAAGAGAGTCCCAGTACCCGTGCGTACTCTGAGTGTCGTATCCAACAAATCACTCCAGACCAGTCTCTCATCAATCAACTTCTGAAATCCCAGAATAGCTGCGGAGAGCTCTGGGTATAATAAAATATTCTGCGCCCAATAGCGGCCAAAGCACCACCAGTTCGAGCTTGTCCTCCACAGAGATCTGCGCGACTGCCAGGGATGGCCCCCAGCACGGATATCGCTGTCTATAGCTTCTGCCACCCGCCCCTCGGAAGAATGGGGACTGTGTGGTCTGTGGGCGTCGCCAATATGCCGAGATGTTCAACCTGAACAGGAACAGGGTCGTCGATACTCCAGCGTTGCCTCTTGCTCTGGTTCTCGCAGTAGCCGATGGACGTGTCGAACAGTTGGGTCATCAGCAAGTCCGCGTCAAGGTCATCGGTGTTCTGGGCAACCAAACTTCTGTCGTCCATGAAGACATGGCCTTGGGACGCCGGTACCCATGGCACCAGCGTCGATATGAGCGTACATGGAGCCGTGCTGTCGCCCTGGGGTAGGCCTCTGCACGGGTCCAGCGGCGGAGCGAGCTCACCTTGGATACAGCAAATCCGTGGGCCCTTCCACGCGGCGTAGCATGTGTACATAACTGCGTATGGCATGGCTGAGTGATCAGCCGCCTCCAAGGCCAGGTCGTGGTCCACCTGGTCGAAGGCCGCCGAGACGTCCATCTCCGCGCCGCACTGTCCTTCAGAGCAGTCTTTCAGCCACTTTGACACTGCATGCGCCACCGACGTATGTATGCGATTGGCCCACTGCAAGTCTGAAGGGGAAGCCGAAGCCGTTGACAGCGCCCGAAGCCAGGCGCGCATCAGCACGGATCCGACCGATCATGATCCACCATGTCTCGGAAGGGGCGATCGATCGGCGGTCGAATGTCCCCCCCCTCCTCCCGAGCCAGTTCCGCCCTCTCGTCTGCTCCACAGCGAGGGCGCCCTCTGCCAAGGATGCCCCCCCCCCCCCCAAGAGCAGACACCCCGGACGCCCTCGGAGGCCCCAGAGGCTTGTTCTCCTAGGCGCCAGGGGGGCAGCGCTGCGGGATGGGCCGAACGTCACCGTGCATATGTGATAAGGAACAGGAGACTGAGGTCTGGGGTCAGGTCGGGCATGTCCCCCTACAAGGGGATGTTGAACGAAAAAGAAAGAATACGCAAACAAATGTTTGAACATATTCAAAAATACTTCAAAAATCGTCCCCATACTAGTCGTTGACTATTTTTGAACCTTCCTCCTGAAGAGGGACATGCCCGACTCTGGTCTGGGGGCCCAAGGATAGGGAGCCCACAGGGGACGTGCGCGCCCAACCACGTAATTTAGTACGTGTGCACGGCCCCCCCCCCCCCCCCCAAGCCACGAGACCGGCCGCCTGACATGGACCTTCGCGCAATGCGCACGCTTAGGTCGGGCATATCCCCCTACAGGCGGATTTTGAAGGAAACAATACGAATATGTCGAGAACGTGCAAAACTGTGCAGGCGTACCAAGAAAATTGTCCCCAGACTACAGTCGGGGCGTTGACCCAAGGAACCCTAAATAAAGAACGGGGCCCCTTCCTCCGATAAGTTGAGCTTCGGTTTCCCATGGAAAACCTCAGGAAAACAAAAGGCAAACTGCAGAACAATCCAGGAACACCGAGCCCCTCCCCAACGAAAAGGGTTCCTTCTTCGGGGCCCCGACTGTATTCTTGGGACTATTTTTGATCCTTGCTCCTGCACGGGGACGGGCCAGACCTCAGCGTGCGTCCTTCCTTCGCTCCCAAAAAGATCAATAATAATAACGATAATAATAAAAATAATAATATGGATAATTAATAATAATGTTAATAATAAAAATAATAATCATTATAATAATGATAATAATAAATAATATTAATAATATCAATAATAATAATATTAATAATAAAAATACTAATAATAATAATAGTAATAATTAAAAAATAATCACAATAATAACCATACAAATAATACTAATAATAATACTCATAATAATAATAAAAATAATAATAACAATAATATTAATAATAATAGTAATACGAATAATAAACTAATAATAATAATAACTATAATACTACTAACAATAATAGTAATAATAACAAAAGCAGGGGGATGCGCACGGAGGGGGGAGCAGCCGCGGCAGGAGGCGGGCGCGGGGACGGCGGGCCTGCCCTCGACCCGGACGCCCCCTCTCCCCGGTGCACGCTCCGGTCCTCTGGGCGCTTCGGCGTCGTCCTCTCCTCCAGGATGGCCCAGGACGCTCCTCGATGGTCCTCCAGGATGCCCCAGGACGCTCCTCGATGGTCCTCCAGGGTGCCCCAGGATGCTTCTCCAGGATGCCCCAGGTGCGCTTCGGTATCGTCCTTTCCTCCAGGATGGCCCAGGACGCTCCCCGATGGTCCTCCAGGATGCCCCAGGATGCTTCTCCAGGATGCCCCAGGTGCGCTTTGGTGTCGTCCTTTCCTCCAGGATGGCCCAGGACGCTCCCCGATGGTCCTCGCCGAGAGCTCTTGCCCACATACAGTCCTCGGCCTGACCTAAGGAACGACAAATAAGGAACGAAGTCCCTTTTTTGTCACAAGGAATAACGCACAAGGAACGATCGGTAATACATAACGCATAAGGAACTGTAAATAACGCATGCAAGCCTAAGGAACGACCGAGCCCCTTTTGAAAAGTAAGTGTTCCTTATTCAAGCCGCTCACTGTATCCCGCATCCCCTCCGGGGGGCTTTGGGAGGAAGCGGCCAGGGCAGGACACGGACTGTGCAAGACAGCAGCTCCGCACACAGCAGCTCCGGACACAGCACGGACTGAGCAGAGCACGGTCCTCGCCGAGACACTTGAACAGGGACCGACCGTCCCAGCATTCCTATAGGCCTACCACGACGTGCTCTTAGAGCCCAAGGGAGTTCCAATAACAGAAACAACACTGTTCTTGGAACACAATCCCGATGTGCAAAACCAGGACAGCCTCAGCCAGAAAGGTTCTGAGAGCATGTCGTGCAGACCCCCGAAAAAATGAAACGAACTCTTTACTCCGACGCTTTTTCTGGCCCTGCATTGAAATTTGCACTGGAGAGCGGATCCTGGTGTATACGGGACCCTGGTGTATACATTTTTCATCGGTTTCCTGGGGCATCGAGGAAAAAAGTACACACCACACCACCCCAGCGTCGTCCCCGACCCTGAAAAAGTCCTGGGATTGAAAAACAGCCCGCCATTGGTACTGTATATGTTCCAGTTTCCGAGAAAAAAGGTTCCCAGAACCTTTTTTGGGTGGGCCTAAGTAATGCGGGATGACGAATAGTAAAAAAAAGATGGGGGAGAACGATTAAACAAATAGTTTTCTGTCATTTCTGCACCCCGCTGCTGTTGACCCCGCTCCTTTCTCCTTGACCCCTTCCCTCCTAACCCTCCGCTTCGGCTCCGTCTGGCCCGTCGGCCGCCCGGGCGCGCGCCCGAGGACGGCGGGGGGGGAACGATTAAAGAAACAGTTTTCCAGCCCGCGGCCGGCTTTTTCTAGTCGTCATCCCGGGCGCCGCCGCGTGAACACGACCCCCGGTCATTTATGAATCGCCATCCTCCATTAGGAAGAGCCAGGGCGCCTCGCCCCTGCTCGACAACGAAAAAAAAGGCGCGCACGCCCGCGCGACGCCGAGAGAGCCCGTCGGCGCAGGGCCCCCCCCGAGAGACCCAAAGCCAGGCGAGGCGGGCGCCCCCATTGCACGATGCCGGCGGCGGCGATCGGGGCGAACAGTTGGCCCAGGGGCGGGCATCGCACGCACTCGCCCCCGAGGAGGAGGAGGAGGAGGAGAGGAGGAGGAGAGAGGAGGAGGAGGAGGAGGAGGAGGAGGAGGAGCGGAAGCGGAGGCGGAGGCGGAGGAGGAGGAGGAGGAGGAGGCGGAGGCGGAGGCGGAGGCGGAGGCGGATCCCCTGGGCCACTCGCCCCCATCGCCGCCTCTGAGCGTGCCTCGCCGCCTCCGAGCGTGTATAATCTGAGCATGTTCTCAGGGTGGAGGGCTCAGGGTGAAAATCCATACGGGCTTCTGCACCTCGCGAATCGATCAGTCTTGCGATTCGCCTTTTGCAGATTCAAGCCTCGAGCATCCATCGAAACGGCAATTCGGATTTCACCCTTTGCCCTCCACCCAAAGAAAATAAAATGCTCGGGTATAGCTCTCCCCTGGGCCATTCGCCCCCATCGTCGCCTCTGAGCGTGTCTCGCCGCTCCGGGGGGTGGCGCCCGCTCTAGGGGGTGGCGCCCCCCCAGCGCGTCCCCGGGCTGCAGGGACGCGGCGAGGCCGTGCGGCGGGGGCAGCGGCACCTCGGGTCGGTGGCGCCCCCCGCTCGCGGCCGCCCAGGCCGGCGGCGAGCGAGGGGGGCAAGCGAGGCCCTCCTCCTCCTCCTCCTCCTCCTCCTCCTCCTCCTCCTCCTTTCTCCTCCTTTTTCTCCTCTTCCTCATCCTGCTTATCTCCTCCTCCTCTCCTCCTCCTCATCCTCCTCCTCCCCTCCCTCCTCCTCCTCCTCCTCCTCCTCCTCCTCCTCCTCCTCCTCCTGGGCGCGGGGGCTCCCTCCCTCTCCGGCTCTCGTTGCCCAACCTTCGCTGCGGCTGCGCTCTGTCGTGGCGCGCCGCGTGCTCCCTGCTCGCCGCACCTGCTCCTCTTGGAGCAGCCCTCTTATGGCTCATCCAGCGCCACGGCCCCGGCTGACAAGTTTTGGGCGCCCGAGTTATCCGGGGTAACTCGGGTCCGGGGTAACTCGGGTTTGGATTCCCGAAAAAGGAACCCGAGTTACCCCTGACCCGAGTTAACCCTGATGAATCGGGGCTCTGGACGCCCGAATTATCCGGGGTAACTCGGGTCCGGGGTAACTCGGGTTCGGATTACCGAAAAACGAACCCGAGTTAACCCTGACCCGAGTTACCCCTGATGATTCGGGGCTCTGAAAGTTCTCTGAACGTCAGATTGGGTCGGGCGTGTTCCCCTACAAGGGGATCTTCGACGAAAGGCAAACATAGCCCCCAAATGCTGCAAGATTGACAAAACATGTGCAAACATGGTCCCCAGACGAGGTTCTGTTTTGACCACTTTGGAATACTCCTCCTGTAGAGGGACAGGCCCGACTTCAAAGTCAGAAAAACAGATCTCTCCGGGCCCCCTCTTGCCCAGCGGAGCCGGCAAGCCCGCGGGAAAGGGGGCTCGGCTCGCTCCGGCCGTCCTCGGGAGGGCGCGGCCGAGCGCGTCCGCCCGGGGCACACGCCAGGCCAGGCTCGATGCCAGCGGCCCCCAAAAACACGCCCGAGGAGTGGGCCCCTCCGAAGCCTCCACCTGCCGCACGATATGGAATCGACCAGTGCCCACCAGTGCGTGCTGGGAGAGGGCGACCGGCGGCGAGCGAGGGGGGCAAATGAGAGAAGGGGCGGACCTCCTCGGAAGGCTCGGAAGCCCCCCAGGGCCTTCCGAGAAGTTCCCGAAGCATTCCCCGAGGACAGAGAAGACTTCTTCTTCTTCGAAGGCGCCAGGGCTTCTGAGAAGCCCCGCTTGCCGCCGACTGTGGGGTGCCCGCGCCCAGGAGGAGGAGGAGGAGGAGGAGGAGGAGGAGGAGGAGGAGGAGGAGGAGGAGGAGCAGAAAGAGGAGGAGGAGGAGAAACAAGGAGGAGGAGGAGGAGCAGGAGGAGAAGGAGGAGGAGGAGGAGGAGGAGAAAAGGAGGAGGAGGGGGAGGAGGAGGAGGAGGAGAAAAAGAAGGAGGAGGAGGAGACAAAGGAGGAGGAGAAGCAGGGGCGGGGAATGCAGGAAGGGCCGGACCCCGAGGTGTGGTCGCCGTGGAGACGGGAGAGCCGGGGCTGTCGCTCGCCGCCTCGTCGGATCCCCAGGGCCGCCACGGGCCGGCCTGGCTCGGGAGCTCCCGCGCCGCACAGAGGTGGGGTCCATGGCTTCGCTCGTACACCTTGCGAAATGCTTAAGAAATCATGGGTTAAGAAATTCATACAACCCTCGTCAAAATTAACCTCAAAATGGCGGGCACGCCCCTTCGATGTCCGCGCGCCCCTTCAATGTCGATACGACGCCCCTTCAATGTCGGGGTCAGGGCAGATGTGGTGTGACCGGGAGCGACTCGAAAATTCAAAGATGACCGACATTGGAGGGGCGGCGCATACAAGTACATCGCACTCATCGGCACTCGGTCCGATATCTCCCACAATCAGTTCAGCTACGTGCGGCATTTTTGAGGTTATTTTTGACGAGGGTTGTAGTCTCAGAACTGGAATAAAAACCCCACATTTCCATTAAACTCTTAGGATTTTCATTGAAAAATTAAGAATAATCGAGACTCTGGCCGAAAAAAAAAGTTTTCTTAAGCATCGCCTAAGGTGTACAGCGGAGGCCAGTCCACGAGAAGGCTTCCACCAGAGACCCAACCAACCCTGAGACCACAGGACGTCCGCTGACGTCTGGCGTGGGAACGTCGCGCTCCCCATCGCAGAACTGCCGAAGCCCAGAAAAGCCCAGGGCACCCTGGAGGCACGCAGGGTGCTTCTTGGCATGGGCCCCCACTCGTAGTCTTGTTTGAGAAGATGCGTTTGTTCTGTCACGCCCTCGGGCGTCCCCAGAAATCTCGACCCATCCCCCAGGACTGGCTTTTCGTCCCGAGTCGTTGTTTGACAGCCCCAGGGTCCGGCGAGGGCCCTCCCGGGGCCGAAAACTGCGAAAAATTTGCCGCCCTGATCTTTTTACGACGCGACCATGTCTGGGACTCGTAGTCTTGCTTGAGAAGATGCGTTTGTTCTGCCACGCCCTCGGGCGTGAGAGGAGGGTGAGGGGGCCAGGCTGCGCGGGCGCGGGGGCTCCAGCGGGGAAGGTGGCCACGGGCCCAATGGTACTCACGGACGCTCGACCAGCACGCTGGTGCTCACGAGCGCGGTGCCCCCAAGGCGAATGCATAACGATGGGCGTGGGGAGTAAGCATGCCCAACGAATCTCAAAGGGCTGGCGGGTACGGCCGTGCTCTCACCCCGGGTAGGGGAGGTGCGAGGGTGAGGATCAGGAAGAAACCGACCCCGGAAATCCGTGCGGACCTCCGAAAGATCGACTGCTCCTGCAGCTTGAGAAGGCTGCTCCCCGCTCGCGATCGCGGCCCTCGCCCAGCCACGGCCGCCCCCCCCCCGCCTCCGCCTCCTCTCTCCTCCTCCTCCGCCTCCTCCGCCTCCTCCTCCGCCTCCTCCGCCTCCTCCTCCCCCGCCTCCTCCTCCTTTCTCCTCCTCCTCTCCTCCTCCTCCTCCTCCTCCTCCTCCTCCTCCTCCTCCTCCTCCTCCTCCTCCTCCTCCTCCTCCTCCTCCTCCTCCTCCTCCCCCCAGGCAAGGCCACGGTTCGTGCCCCCACCTCCGAGTATGGCTGCCCTCGGCTGCTCCGAGACACTCCCGGGCGGCGCCCGCGCGATGCGTATAAGGTTACCGGCCCCCCGCCCCCGTCCACAACCCCAGTGGCGCAAGTTACCGCCCAGGAAGGCGTGTTTTTTTTTTCTGGGTTTCGCCATTTGGCCGACGGGTGGGGGAGGGGGGGAGGGTCTGCGTCTGGGCCAGTGCTTGATCTATCTGCTCTTACCAATCACGCAAGCAGGCTGGGAGGGTGGGGTCAGGACCAGTCACCAAAAGCAGCCGCCCAAGCAGCCAAGATCTGGTCTACGGGAGGGGGATGGGGGTGGCCTGGGGCTTGCGCCCGTCGGCGAAACAATATATAAAACAGCTGCTAGTTCATTACTCCCACGGAAGGACCCCGCATTATTATCTCTTTGGTGTGAACCAAGATCACCCTCACCGACGACTAACGATGATAATGGTGCCAAGACGCGACATCCTCACGATGAAAGAAACCGCGTGTTCTACCGCTGCTGGCGGAAAACCGGGGGGGGGTCACTACGGGTACGAACCCCTCCCCCCCCCCCCCTCCGGAAAACCGGGGGGGGTCACTACCGGTTCGAACCCCTCCCCCCCCCCCCCCAGTTCATGAAAAGGGGGGGGGTCACTACCGGTTCGAACCCCTCCCCCCCCCCCGCGAAAACCGGGGGGGGTCACTACCGGTTCGAACCCCCCCCCCCCTCGAAAACCGAGTGGGGGTGCGGACAGTGGTGGGGACGGTGTTGGTGGGGACAGTGGTGAGGGGATAGCGGGACAGTGGTGGGGACAGTGGGACAGTGGGACAGTGGTGGGGACGGTAGTGGTGGGGACAGTGGTGGGGACAATGGTGGGAACAGGGGGGGACAGTGGACAGTGGTGGTGACGGTGGTGGTGGGGACAGTGGTGTGGGGACAATGGGAATGAGGTGGAAACAGTGGGACAGTGGAGGGTACAATGGTGGTGGGGACAGTGGTGAAGGCGGTGGCGAGGACGGCGGTGGGACAATGGGACAGAGGTACAGTGGGGACAGTGGTGGGGACAGTGGGGACAGTGGTGGGAACAGTGGGACAGCTCAGTGGGACAGCGGAGGAGTCAGTGGGACAGTGGGGACAGTGGGGATAGTCGGGCAGTGGTTGGGGCCGTGGAGACAGTGGGGAGAGTGGAACCGTGGTGGGAACAGTTCTGGGGACAGCGGGGACAGTGCGACAGTGGTGGGGGCACTGGTGGGGACAGTAGGGGCGGTGGTGGAACCAGTGGGGACAGTGGTGGTGAGGACAGTGGTGCTGGGAACACCAGTGGGGGATGTGATGCGGACGGTGGTGGGGACCGGGAGTCGTTTGCTGGCGGTGAGTAGGGGGGGGGGGTGGGGGGGGGTTCGAACCGGTAGTGGCCCCCTCCGGTTTTCCGGATCCGAAGGGTAAGGGGGGGGGGGGAGGGGTTCGAACTGGTAGTGACCCCCCCCGGTTTTCCGGATCCGGAGGGGGGGGGGGGGAGGGGTTCGAACCGGTAGTGACCCCCCCCGGTTTTCGAGCGGGAAGGGGGGGGGGGTGAGGGGTTAGGGGAGGGGGGGTTTTGCCGGGGGAGAGGGGGGGGGGGATTTTCGGAGGGGGGGGGGGGGCGACCCCCGGGTTCCGGAGGAAAAGGTTGGCAATTTTCCACAGTAAAGCGGCGGTGGATCACGCTCTCTCCGATGTAACGGCTTGGGGTGCTCAAGTGCTATGCCTACTACAGTGAGCCAAGGACCTGCTCGGATTACTAACGTGATGTACGGGCCTATCGGAAGGGGCCTCCCGCCTGAGACATCCTCACACTTCAGACGAGGCCCACGCTCGAGACATCCTCACGATTTGCCCCCCTGGAGCGCTCAAGTGCTATGCCTGCTGCAATCAGCGAGTGGCCAGCTCAGACTACTAGCGTGATCGACGGGCCC